CTTTAAAGAGTAAAGAAAGCTGGACATGATGGTGAAGCTCTGTAATCCCAGATACTTGACCGCATTCTGAGGTAGAAAATCCCAAATTCAAGTTTAGCATTGACAACTCAGTGAGACACTATTTTAAAATAAAAAGCAGAGAAATACTGAAGTAAAGTCCTTGCCTAGCATGTCCAAGGTCCTAAGTTCAATACACAAATCTTTTACCACATACAAACAAAAGAGCAAAAGTTGGGAGATCATTGTTTGGGAGGCCAAGGCAGGAATATTAAGCATGTGAGGTCAAACAGGCCTTGGTATCAGACATCTTAGATTCCAGCATTCCAGAAGCAGAGGCAGAGGCAGGAGGATCCTCATAAGTAGATAAGTAGATCAGCCTTATCTACAGAGCAAGTTTTCTCGGAATGAGACACGACTACAAAAAGGAGCTGATGGAGGGCATTTCAGGGGAGAAAAAGGTTTATTTTTATTTTATGTGTGTGCATATTTGGCATGCATGTATATGGCATGCGTGTCTGGTGCCCTCGGAGGCCAGGAGGGGGCACCTTGACACTTGAAACTGTAACTAGGGATGGTTGGGAGCCACCAAATCTGGATGCTGGCAACCAAATCCTAACTGCAAGAGCAGCAAGTGCTCTTAAACACTGAGCCATTTGTCCAGCCCCATTGCAGGAGAATCTTTCCAAATGATACTTGTGGTCCAGTGAAATGGCTCAGAGTGTAAAGGTGCTCCCTGCCAAAAATAACAATCTGAATTCCATCCTGGCAGGAAAGAACTGACTCACACAAGTTGTCCTCTTATTGTATTTGTGAACCATGGCACATGTCCCCATACTCACACACACACACGCACACACACACACACTACATACATAAATGCAACAATCTCTACAAAAGAAAAACCCTTTTACTGGCTGTGGTGGTGCACACCTTTAATCCAGCAGCACTCAGGAGACACAAGCAGGTGGATCTTTATGAGTCTGAGGCTAGACTGGCTTATATAGAGAGTTCCAGACCAGCCAGGTCTACAAAGTGAGACCCTGTCTCAAAAAAGCCTAGGAGACTGATGAGATAGCTTAACAGATAAGAGCACTATCTGTTGTACTAGGGTACCTGGGTTCAAGTCCCAGCATCTACCTGGTGCTGTAGCTCCAGTGCTAGGATATCCAATGTCCTCTTTTGGCCTCTAGAAGCATTAGGCATGCACATGGTTCGAAGACTTACAAACTAGTAAAATACCTATGTACATAAAAATGAAATAGAAAACTGAAAATTATATTCCTATTGGTCTATATCCCACTTTAAACTGTAATTTCTTCCGCCGGGTGGTGGTGGTGCACGCCTTTAATCCCAGCACTCGGGAGGCAGAGGCAGGCAGGTCTCTGCGTTCAAGGCCAGCCTGGTCTCCAGAGCGAGTGCCAGGATAGGCTACAAAGCTACACAGAGAAACCCTGTCTCAAAACAAACAAACAAACAAAACAAATAAACTGTGATTTCTTCCATACTATATAATATCTCATATATTATATGATAATAAGGAATCAGAGAGTTTCAAATTAGAGTCTGATTCCTGATTTTTTAAAAGATTTTATTTATTTATTATGTATACAACATTCTGCTTCCATGTATATCTGCACACCAGAAGAGGGCACCAGATCTCATTACAGATGGTTGTGAGCCACCATGTGGTTGCTGGGAATTGAACTCACGGACCTTTGGAAGAGCAGTTGGTGCTCTTAACCTCTGAGCCATCTCTCCAGCCCCTGATTCCTGATTTTTGACACATCTCACCATGTATCTCTGGCCAGCCTGAAACTTAGAGCTATCTGCCTCTGCCTCAAGACGTATTTTTTTAAGACGTATTTTTTAAATGTATTTATTATATATACGGTGTTCTGCCTGCATGTATGCCTGCATGATAGAAGAGGGCACCAGATCTCATTACAGATGGTTGTGAGCCACCATGTGGTTGCTGGGAATTGAACTCAAGACCTCTGGAAGGGCAGTCAGTGCTCTTAACCTCTGAGCCATCTCTCCAGCCCCTCAAGATGTATTTTTACTATTTATAAGTTATGTGTATGTGTGTATTCTTGTGTTGGGTCTCTGCACATGAAATGCAGGGGCCTCTACAGACTACAAGAGGGCATTGGATCCCCTGGAGCTGGAGTTCCAAGTGGCTGGGAGGTGCCTGACTTGGTAAGAACTCAGGCTTTCTGGAGAACAGGGCAGTCCCTTAGCCACTGAGCCATCTCTCCAGCCCCTGATCCATGCATTGTTATCCTTTTCCCCCATGATAGTGGGAATCAAACCCAGAGTTTTGCCCATGCAAGTACCCTCCCACTATTGTGTATTGTATTGTCTTTCTCTCTTATATGCCATGTGGTCTCACTACATAGAACAGACTAGCCTTACATTCTATATTTCCTGTTTTGGTTTCTTGAGTATTGGGACTACAGGCATGTGTCAAGCTGGCTGTCATCCGTACACAATTGCTAAAATTCCACTAATCAGCTCCTGATTGTGTGCATGGGCCCTGGATTTGATCCCTAACACCATTTAAAAAAAGAAATGGTGTTCTTCTGTGTGTCACATGTCCTCCAGCAGGCAGCATTTCTAAGAAGTCCTCTTGTACCCACTCCCAACTGTTGGTGCTTTTCTATTGGAACCTCTGCCTAGCTAGCATATCCTTAACTGTGTCACCTTGTTTCTTTCTTACTGATTTTTACATATGAATGTGTCATGCATGCATTGTGAATGTTTTCACACATTTGGTGTTCTGAGGCTGGTGCTGGTGTCTTCCTCCATGACTCTACACATTCTTTACTGAATCGGCGTCTCTAGGTGGACTGGCCATTTCAGCTAGTCTGGCTAGCCAGTCCGCTCTGGGGATTTCCTCATCTCTGCCTCCTGTGTACTAGAATCGCAGATGGGCCATCACACTCCACTTGGCTTTGTAAAATTTTTTGTGTATGAGTGTTTTACCTTTATATATATCTGTGCAGTTGCAGACATCCATACACCTTAAATACACACACACACACACACACACACACACACACACACACACACATGCTTATAAAAAGAAAACAAAGTATTTATAAAAAAATAAAGGTGACTTCCAAAACGTGTGAATTTGAAGGCAGCCTGGTTCACATAATGCGTTCTGGTCCAGTTAGGGCTAGTGAAACACTGTCTCAAAAAGAAGGGAGGAGGGAAGAAGTGATGGAAGGAAGAAATAAAAGGAGAGAGAGAAAAGGCATCGGTAAGATGAAGTCTTAAAGCTGTCTGTCCCTTAAGGATATGGAAGGGAGTCATTACAGGACCCGGATGTAGGCGAAAACTACAACTCCCAGAATGCACCACGGCCACCCGGCGACTATATAAATAGTCCATCCGGGTTCTTGGAGATGCTGTTTGGCGACTCGTCGCCATTCCCGGAGCACCTCGGCCTCGGCCCAGAGGCGAGTG